GAAGGGGAGGAAAACGCCTTTTGGATCGCTTCCCTCGACGCCGCTGTACGAACGTTTTTGTGCTGCCTGGGAGTTCTGTTCGATCCTGTCTCACATGACCAGAAGCTAGAGTTCCTAGCGTTTCCTACAGTAAGATGTTCTCCAAGCGCAGGTCTCGCTATCCGCTCTTGGCAATTCGGTCTCGATTGGTGATTGATGACTTCTTTCTCATTTACAATGCTGGGCCACTTGAAGCAACTTTTTCCCCCTTTTCATACTCTCTTTTCCCTAAATCCAGTATTTGTTTGTGCATTTACTGCTATTCTGGAGTGTTTATCTGGTATTGAACTGGCCAGGACTTATAAAATATCCATGTGCTGGCTGCTTGGTTATATGTTAAATAAATACCACAAGTGATTGTGCAACTGACAGGCATTCATCTCCATCTTCTTGGTATTACCTGCTTATTATTCCCAACTCTTAATTTTCCGGGTAAGTCTCGGTGATCAGTCGCAGAATCACAATGCCACAGACCTTGTATGGGGCTCTTTGCTGGGTAACACTGTTTCTTTCATAACCATGATAACAGTTTCATTGCAAAATGAAACAACGCGTGAGAAGGCAGGTAGCATAAACCATCTTTTTGCTGCTTTGAGCACCCAAGCCAAGTGGGGTGAAATCCCCATACCATTCTGATTAATTAAACAAAGACTACGGAAGCTTCAGAGTTTTACGAAGGAGAAAAATGTGAATTAATTCTCATCTGTAATGGATAGATCTTGCTCCATAACTGATGGAGATCATGTGGGTCCTTCTTAGCAAAACCAATTACATTTTACAGTGCTGTCTACGGCTGGGTTTTATGCAACCTGTGAAAGAAATCTTGTGAATTTCTGTTGCTATTGCTTGTATTAAGTTAAGTGGGGTAAACTTAACCTTGGATGTTGTATAAGCTTAAATTCAAACAAGTAAAACCACCCAGGCATGGAACTGGGGGATGGGAGAGACTCTTTAATTTTCCTGTGAAACTTCTCAGTGCTCAGTTATCTCCCAAGTTATGTACTTGGGCCAGTTATGTTTTTGGAGTATTTTCATCCATTTACAGTTGAAGGAAGATAATAGTGAATAAAGTCAATAAGCAATGTAAGGGTTTGTTACGGTTGTATTTAAGACTAGTCAAAATTTGTGTACAGATCTTTTCTTTTAGACATAAAATCTTGATGTTTTGTAACCGAAAGCTGAAATTACTGATTTGAGTAAGTTGGTTCCAATTAATGATACCATGGTATTTTAATATGTTTTAAAAAATTGGGTTCTGTGAAATGATGAAAAATTGGTAGGTTCATAGCTTATTAAAATCTTTGGTTTAAAAATGTATTGTGCTACTCGAAGAGCGTTCCATTTTTAAAATAGAAGTATTCCATTAGCTGGCTGTTAATCTAACTCAAATTCCATAAATATATCGCATTCCAGCCTTACGTGTTAAAGTCTTTCAAGGCATAAATGTGCAGAATGAAATAATTTGCACTTGGAAGGAGTGTAAATAGAATTGTCAGTTAAACGCTCTTTTTAGTTTTGTTTCAGTATAGCTTATCAACAGCAACTGAATTATTTTTTAAAAAAGTAATGTAGACAGTTTCTCTTGAATATTACATGCTACTACAGCCTCCTGTAGAAAATAGCTGCAGGCAACGCACCACTTGAAAGTACATGCTCTTGTTGGTGGGAGCAACTACATTGGACTTAGTCAAATCATGAAATACTGTTAGTACATTGGAACATTATGAACTTTTAAAAATTAGATTGCTTTTTGTCACTTGCGGTTCAAATTTAGAACGATTTGAGAGTCCTTGTTTGTCATTTTCATTTGTGGTGTTATCGTCTCGGTTGTTTCCCTGCAGGCAAATATTATAGGAGAGATTAGCTTTTCTGGAACTTGTGTGCCAACAGAAACAGGTTGTATGTTTTGCAGAAACCTTAAACACTTTGGTTGTTTATTTTCACCAAAGAATCCCCAAAAGTAAGCAAATATTTCTGCTGGTTACTTACGCTTCTTGGTTGTGTTACTGGAATGCTGTGTTTTGTCAGATGAGATGAGGTTTTGAACTCGGTGTGATATCTGCCTACAGCGTGACCGTTTCTTCTCCAATCAATTTGAAAACTTAGGAGAATATTGTAGGTGTGAATTTCCAAAATGGTACTATTGGCTTTTGGTGGTGGGTTTGTTTGGGGGTTTTTTCTGTTTCTCTGTGTGTGTGTGTGAGGGATTAAGAAAAGATACTGGGAAAGGAATGTGTTGCATATTGTGTCTCTGTCAGGTAGATGCTAGAATTTCCAAGAGCTTCATCTGCTTCAGTAATAGTCTTGTAATGGAAAGAAGTGATTGATAGCAGCCATCAACATATCACTTTAATATTCTTAAATAAGCTCTGTTCACCTTCTCAGTATCACTTAAAACATTCACATTCTGAAAACTTCTGCTTCCTTATATGTGGATCATTGACGAAGAAGAGAGAATGAAGTGATAACTTAGTTCTTGGGAAACTGGGGTGGGTAGGGACTTGGAGTTTTGGGTTGGAAAATAGGAAGCTTATGCACAACAAATCTGTGTAGGAATGGAAAGAGCTCTTTTCCATATGCATCACGAAAACTTAAACAGTGACATATAGGTCTGTTGCATTGGTTAGATTCAATGCGATCCAACATTTTAGATCACTTTTAAAGTCAAAGCTTAAGTAAAAATGGGAACTCTTTGTGGTCCCATAGCTCTTCTGGCCCTGGTAGTCCTGCAGTTTGATCTGCCCTGGTCCTCTTCCTGCATCCTGACCTTTCTGTCCCATTGGCTATGGACAGAGGTGGACCTAAATGGGGCCACAGGCAGACTAAACGTCATGGATAACTGGAGTCCTTCCTGCCAGGAGGGAGTTCACTGTGTGCCGAGTTACTTGCTGCAGTCTGGCCTGGGTTTGGGCTCCTTCTGGGGCAAGAACTGGATCTGCTGAGTGGGTGGTGGTTGAACATGGCTGGGGGGTCGCACTGGCTAGCCCTGCACCCCGGGGGGGCCTGCCTGAGAAGGCCGTGGGAGGGCAATCCATGGGGCAGGAAGACCTGGATTTTAGGTTTGGTAAAGGAGGCTCGGGAGGGAGACCCATGTGGTAAATCTGCTTTCAGAAAGTTGTGCATCTTTGTGGTTTAAGGGTAAGCCTTGAAATCTGATGTGACTTTTAATAAGGTCACATATTTATTTATGGGTGATGCAGTAAAAACTTCTTTAAGAGTTGGAGATTAAAGATGTACTTTCAATCGTATGTTGTTTTAAATAGAATTTATTTTCTTTTAAGTTTTCTCATGTTGCGGTTCATAAGAACCTCGTGAAGTTGGTGGGGTTTTTTGCTTGCCCTTTTTTTTTTTCTTCTTCTTCTTTTGGAGAGTAAGTATGAAGTAAGGGAAACTTCTGAAGGTGGCCCTCATTTAGATGACCACAGACAAATGTAGGGCTAATGCTGACTTGTTCAGCTTGGGAAGCTTGAGGGGCTGTTGTCTGACTGTCTTCTGTCTCGAGGAAGATGTTTCAGTGTTCAGGTATCAACGCAAAAACTGTGTTCCGTTTTCTTGATGCTCAGTTTGATGGCTGGGATCTATTCACTAAGAATAGACCAGAGTCCTAAATTTGATGGGTTATGCCATTGCAATATTTCACAGTATACTCTATCCCTTTTTAGTATCCCTGTATCTACAAGTGTTGCACTATTAAGAAAATCAGATCTGTGAAATCTTGGGTAGAGAGGAAGGGAAGGTGAGATGTTTTCTCCCATCTCACAAACATTTTCCCTCAACTGGTCAGATCTGAGGAGAGATCTGGCACCCAATTTTGGAGATGTGGGAAAATTTGATCCCCCAAGGTGCTCCCCTGGCTTTTGTGTGACACTTAGCTTTTCCTAGCCTTTACTGGCTACAGAGTTGCATGGAGGAGCACGGGCACAGGCTGTTTTTAAACTTAATATCGCAATTTGAGTCAGAAATGAAGGACCTATAGG